CCTGCTGAGACTGATCAGCACAGGATTTAGTCAAGCCTAATATGAGATAAATCTCAAACCTGCAACTTAAAACTGGTTTTGAGATCAGTTTCACCAAATTATTTTTGCCCATCTTCTTCATCTTCAAGATGATTATAAAACTGTTCAGGAGGCCTAGGTCTACAAAGGTACTTATGCATCAGTTAGGAGCCTGATTAATTTTGTGGATCTGGGCAGAAGTGCTGTCTACAGTTAGTGTCTAAAGTAATAGTCTTATTGTATGCACTCTTGCATTAGCAAGAGATGGATCAGGCTCTGTGTGTGTGTGCAGAGGAGTGAGCACACATGTATTCGGGGAGTATAATCAGAGCATTGCTCTGTAAAGTAGAAATCACAGTTAACGTCATTTGCTTAACTCTGTTACAGAGGGAAGAGCCAGCTGTACAGTTTAACTCAGGTACTCTCACCCTGAGCAGGAAAGCCAAAAACAGCCCAGATCCCACTATTTATCCAGTTCTTGAGTGGAATGACATAAAATTTCAAGATGTGATTGGGGAAGGTAACTTTGGGCAAGTCCTGAAAGCACGCATTAAGAAAGATGGCTTACGCATGGACGCTGCAATTAAAAGGATGAAAGGTAGTAAAGATTGGAGACTCTGAGACTAAAAACTTGTCTTGGTTGTTTGTTCCAAGTGATTCTCTGTCATAAAAAATGCTTAGTAGCCCTCTTCTAAACCTAAAATAAATATTTGAACTTGCTAGTGAAATTGTATGAGCTGTCACTAGGCCAAGATTTGTGCCCTGGCAAAGACTATTTCTGCACGGTCAAGTTGATTTATGTTTACTGTTTATTGTTTATTGTTTATTGTTTATTGTTTATTGTTTATTGTTGTTAATATCATTAGTTATTATGTATTTTTCAATTCATAGGCCAATATGAATTAATGTGTGAGTTCACCTGCAAAGTGGAAGCTGTTAAAAGGTGCCTTTAGTAGGGAGAGGAGCACAGAGCTAGCCTTGGGGCATAGCATTTGCTCATCTTGCTTTACCCCAGCCATTCAGAGACAACTGTATCTATGTATCTATACATATACAGACTATGAAGATCACTCATTTTCTTGGTACTCATTGGGCATGACCGACATGTTCCAGAGAGAAATGCAATACATGTATTACTGAAAGAACATACATATTTTCTTGAAATTCACTAGATCATTATCTAGGTGAATTGGGAGACACTCTTATGAGTACGATGATCATTTAAAAAAGAGCCAAGGTCTGCATCCAGGTGGAAATAATAAACCGCACACACATGGAAGGATTTTTAGGCAGCTAGTTTTCATGTGGTCTCCTATGATATTTTACATTCTCAATAAGGGACGTGACGTGGTATATTGAGATGCTTGCTTTCTCTCCAGATGCTACAGACATTGTCTCTTTTTTTCCTTTGATTGAAAAGTCCTACTTTTTTTCAGTAAATATTAATGTATCTTAGACTTTTTCTGTTTTTATTGGGGCTGAAGCAGTAGTGCCCCAGGCAGCCCAGAGTCCTCATAATTAACAACAATGTGGTCATAAATTCAGTTCAAAGGAAAACATAAATGCATGCTTATTTGATTTTCAGAGTATGCCTCAAAAGATGATCACAGAGACTTTGCTGGAGAACTTGAAGTTCTTTGTAAACTTGGTCATCATCCCAACATCATAAATCTTTTGGGAGCATGTGAACATCGGGGTAAGATACTCTTGAATATGTGTACTTCAAAAATTAAATTTTTTACACCCACCGTATAGTCCATACAGGCCATAGAATCACTAGCTTATAAGCAGGTCTTCCTGCAACATTAGTTAAAAAGCCAAATAAATTTGGTTTCAGATCTACAAGCCCACATTAATCCTTCAGAAATGTTCATCAATATCTCTATATACTCCTCTGCACCTAGGAATTATGCTGTTCGGTATTTCCCCTCCAGTCTGTTTTGTTTCTTTTTTACTCAAAGCAGTGTAAGTGTCCAAATACTATTACTGACCAACTTTTGCTTTGTGATACATTCACTGTCTGATGTTTCATTAGGCTATCTTTATCTCGCTATTGAATATGCCCCCCATGGAAATTTACTGGACTTCCTTCGGAAAAGCAGAGTGCTAGAGACAGACCCAGCATTTGCTATTGCCAACAGCACTGCATCTACACTTTCCTCCCAGCAGCTTCTGCATTTTGCAGCAGACGTTGCTAGAGGGATGGACTACTTGAGCCAGAAACAGGTCAGTCTTCAATTCTCTACCCACTGAAAGCACAGAAATTAATTTTTCTTTTAATGAAATAAAAATAAGGTTTTAATTTTAGCTTCTATAGCACCCACTGGATGAGTTTTATTTTGTTGCGTTCACTTAGCCGTATCAAATACTATGACATGGGGAATCAAGGAAGAGGCATTAAAACCTACAAACGACACGGTAACTATTGCTTTCATCTTCACACAAAGTTTAAAGTGTTCCTGGTAGTGACGTACCATTTATTTTGGGTTTTGTTCTTATCCTGAATGTTTGCAATTTTCAATATAGCACTAAAAAACATATAGACCTCATAGAAACTGCGTTGATTTCCCTTTTTTTTTTTTAATTTTAGTTTATTCATCGAGATTTGGCAGCAAGAAACATCTTGGTTGGAGAAAATTATGTTGCAAAAATAGCTGACTTTGGCTTATCAAGAGGTCAGGAAGTTTACGTGAAGAAGACTATGGTAAGGATCAAAACAAACTGATATAGTCGCTTTTTCTCATTTTTGTTTTCTTGTTTCTTACTTTGTATTTTCATCTGAACAAAAATGCAAACTCATGGGTACTATGGAGCTGATTATTTAAATGTTATATGTTAACATGTATAAATATTTATCTTGTGTTTATTAATATACATACATTTCTTGTAAATCAATTTTATAGCAAGTTTATAATATAATATAGAATGTAATTGAAAAATATTTATATTGTATGTGGCAGTATGGCAATAAATATGGTAATATGAATGGCAGTAAAAAATTAATTTTGCAGCCAGTTATGAGATTCAGTAAAAATGTATTACAAAAACCTATATAATATACATTTGACATATGAAGAGGGTATGTGCATGTGGGTGGATCTGTACAGCTAAGAGAATAGTATTTTCATACCAGAATTTGCTCAACTGAGACAAGCTTGTCTTTTTAAATTGTCCTCTATTGAATGAGGACAAAGTTAGCAAGATGGTAACTAGAGGTGTGTCAGGATCTGTGAGCTGAAAAAATAGCTGTCCAGAGACAATGCTTTGGAAGCCCTGAAAGAGGAAGATGTGTAATAAGCATCATGTAGTCATAGACCAGGAATAACACTGGTTGATCAAGGGAATGGGACTGGTTAGTGGTGTCATGAGACAACGCTCAGGAATTATTCCCATTTCCTCTTGATGCTGATGGGATGAATTTTCCATTAGCTTTAGTATGAACTGTCCCTTTGTGAAGTAAATGCATAACTTAAGTAAGTTTATTTTCTTGATAAACCCTACTTGCATAAAGTCAGTTTTCATTAAGGTAACACACAGAACAATTGTTGGTGTATAAACTGCAATATTGCTATTCCAACCACCAACAAATAAACCTTCATTAAATAATTTCCAGGGACGGCTTCCAGTGCGATGGATGGCAATTGAATCTTTGAATTACAGTGTTTACACCACAAACAGTGATGTGTAAGTATGTTTTCAATTGGTCTTTTTTTAAATAAAGAAACACTTTTCAGTATCAAGGAAAGTTTGATAGTCAGGATGAGATATCCACTCTTAACTCAAAAAATTCTGTAGCTCTGTCAGCATGAATGAGCAATGGAAGCAAAAATAAAACCCACAGCACAAAAGTTCCTTTTATTTCATCATCAGTGTCTGAACAAGTTCTGTGTTCACAAGCTAATTGGATTTGGGCCACTATTTTAGCTATAATTCTCATTTGAAATCAGAAACCTGATGAATGATTGGGAGACACAGAGAAACTCAATATTTTATTCAGGAAACTGGAAATGATATTCAGGAAAACAATTCTATAATAGCACTATTTTCTGAGAGCTCACAGTCTAGTAAAGGACTCTGGTTGATGGGCTTACTTAAGTGAATTAATTTTGTTAGACATCTCACTCCTGCTTTCTGATTCTATGAACCCTATCATTTTTGTATAAACAAAAATCAATTTAAAAAATAAAAGACTGAATCATACTTCTCTGCATTCTCTGAATACTAGCAAAACTACCATATAAAAATATGGAATGTCATTGCATTCTTGTTGCACTCCATAAATATCCCTCTGTTGCAGATGGTCATACGGTGTCCTATTATGGGAAATTGTTAGTTTAGGTAAGTAGCTGAATTCTGTTCACTCAGTCTGTTAAAAATTTATTCCTTTGCAACATCATTTTTTTTCTGTTTTATTCCACTAACTTTTCATTAGCTGTAGTATGCTTAGAAATGCAATTGTCACATTTTCAGTTCAAATGAGACAAGATGACCATGTTTTCATTGCACTATGAAACCTATGCCATATCTAAATATAAAATCCAGCATATCACATGACATATGGTATATCCCTAATCCAATATGTTTTCAGTATGATGGGTGGTTTTTCCTCAGCCTTTCTGAGTTTTAAATAAAGACGTACATTTTAATGACTGGGCGGTGGGGAACATCTCCTACTTAAGTATTCTTGAAGAAAATTTTTGAACATCAATCTTCAAATAAAACTTAGACTTCACTTCTGCACACACCTCTATTCATGCATGTGGTACAGCCTCAAGCCATTCAAAATGACTGTGTTAGCCTTTATCATTTGCCTTGGAGTGTGCCCCATGGTCTGCATACTGACTGAGCTGCACGTTGAGTATTGGACTAATCATGAACTCTTGCTAAATTGTTCCCAGCTTTCCTTACTAAATGGGTTTGTGTTAGATATTGATGGGAATTAACACATTGCAGTGTGCAAAATCAAAAGTCTTAGGCAACCAAACATCTGCAAAAAGGAGCAAAACCAGCTTGACAGTAATAGCTCCATACAAGATCTTACCAATACCATGCTAATAAAGGAATGGCTTGCCCACTGCCATCAAGGGTTTGCAAAACCAGTTCAAATACAATCGGATGCAGACCCTCAGAGTTGTACAGAAATCTAGGCCAGCCCAACAGGTTATACATGTTTATACTCAGTTTTATTTTTCTCTTCAATATGTGCATTAAGCAGTATGGAAACATTAACAACAAAAATGTATCTGCAAAATATTCCCTAACATTGGACTAATTTACCTGTTACTAAGTCACTCATTCTTTTTCATTTCTGCTATGCAGTTAAACTTCCTTTTATTAAAAATCTCTTGTGTTCATGATGATGGTTAAACTCTGCTTTAGGTGGAACACCATATTGTGGAATGACCTGTGCAGAACTCTATGAAAAACTGCCTCAAGGGTACAGACTAGAAAAGCCTCTCAACTGTGATGATGAAGTGTAAGTAACTGCCTCAGAAAAAAAAAAAAACTGAAACAGAATAACACAACATCTGCTATAAGAAATACATGACTTTGATGAGAAAATAATAAACCAAACATTTCTTCAGGAAAACATAAAAACTACATTTAAAACAAAAATTAAAAAGGATGCAGAAGTGGAAATAATTACTTAAGTCCTTTTGTACCCAGCATGCAGTTATTTGCCATGAGCAATATAATATATCTCTGCTCCTGCAGATGAATTGCTCCCATGAGCAATATACCTCTGCTCCTGCCAGATACCCTGTTCTTTACACAGCGTAGCTGGCTTTCACTCAAAAAGAATTTTTTGATTATTCCAGAGAAAAAGAAAATTATTTTCAGACAGCAGCCAGATGTGGAAACTATAACTCCAACTATAAATCCATTTTCCTTTGAAAAATGGAATGTACACAGTCTTCTAGTAAACATCAATTTGTAGCTTTCACCTATGTATCTAGACTATCAAACATTGGTGTTTGATTTTTAAAGGTATGACTTAATGAGACAGTGCTGGAGAGAGAAACCATATGAAAGACCATCATTTGCCCAGATACTGGTGTCACTGAACAGGATGTTAGAAGAAAGGAAGGTAAGAATGAAACCCTAGAAAAGAATCAGGACATGAATAATTTCAGTATAGTTTTAGATTCTTGAGGTAATACACCTTGCATCACACTCTTTCTGTTTATTTCCTTTCCAGACCTATGTGAATACTACCCTATACGAGAAGTTTACTTACGCAGGCATTGATTGCTCCGCTGAAGAAGCTGCTTAAGACAGGAGAAATTTTCATTCATCATTGATGTACTAAAGAAAACCAAAGCTCAATCTGCTGGAGCCCCAAATGTGATGTACTATGTAGAACTGTGTATAGCTCTAACTGTATATAATACAGTAATACTGTTTTACTACAGATATGTATGTGTTATCACACAGTAACCTCTGCCTCCACAGGCTGTAGAAGTGTATATACTGTTCAGAGTAGGAATAGACTGAAGTCATGAAATCTGCTGTTTCATATGCAGGGTTTTCTTTTTTCCTACTCATGTAGATATAGCGTATACATACGTATTGTAATGCATTAGGTATTGCCATCTCAGATTTTTTTAGACTTTCCAAGAGCTACTGATAGCAAAATGGGTATTTTATAGCAGTATTTCATAGACATTTCATTGTGATTCAAACAAAAATGCTAAGCTCAATGCAACAATGGGAGTTGCAAGCAGATGTAAATCCAGTATGTTCACCAAGGATAATTAATTATTAAGTAAGACTCCTCTTTGAATGTAAAAGTGAGCTAGTAGAAATAATCTGTTCAATAATTGTATTGACACTTGTAAGATACAAGGCATACTATTGTTCTTTCATTGTCCAGTTTAACAGTCAGTGTTTGCCTATATGCAAAATACGCATATATTTTGAAGTATTTAATGTTATCAGAGGCAACCATGAAGCACAGGATTGAGGAATATACTACATGCTGTAAAACACATTTTTATAATTATCCTGGATATGCATGAGACTTACTCAATTTGTATTTCATTTAATAATTTCACTGCATAATTATAAATTACTACCTATTATATACAAGCAGGGTTTACTTACTTTTGCTTATTTTATCCCTTATGCAGTCCATAGTATGGTATGGCCTCTTAAAAATACTGTACTGAAATGCTTCAAAAGAATATTTGGCCTGCCAAGGAAGACCTAGTCTTTAGGTTAGACAAATAGAGCCAGGACTGGCCTGAGCTTCTGGTATCAAGTCAGCCATGTGGGATGCAGTAGACTTACATTCAAACTTCATGTATCAGCTAACCTTTCTCAAAGAGGGAAGAGGGTCTGTGTTCGCAGGCTAGGAGGGCTTACTGACAGGGCTTTAAACTAGACTCAAAGGGGATGGGGATAACATCAGGCTTACCTACAAGCAGCTGTGGGATGACACACCAAGGTTAGAGGGATGGGGTGCTAACAAGGCTTCTCAGACTGTTGCACCAGAGAAAGACTTCAGAGGAACTAAAGAAGGTTCCTCTAAGAGGGTGACATGGCTGACAGCCCAGCTGAAGCACCTCTACACAAATGCATGCAGCACAGGCCACAAAGAGGAGTTGGAAGCCACTGTACTGCTAGAAAGCTATGACCTGGTCGCCATTACTGAAACTTGGGACAAATCCCATGACTGGATTGTGGCTCTCAAAGGCTACAGGCTGTTCAGAGGGGACAGGCGAGGAAGGAATGGCGCATATGTTGCCCTTTACATCAAGAAATGGATAGAATGTGAAGAGCTGTGTCTGAAAATAGCCATAAGCAGGTTGAAAGCTTATGGGTAAGAATCAGAGACTGAGGCAACAAAGGGAACCTTGTGGTTGGTGTCACTACAGGCTGCCCAATCAAGGGGAGCCTGTTGATGAAGCCTTCTTAATCCAGCTACAGGACGCATCACACTCACAGGCTCTCATATTGGGGGACTTTAATCACGCCAAGATGTGCTGGAGAAGTAGCACAGTGAGCTGTAGGCAATCCAGGAGACTCCTGGAGTGCATGGAGGAAAAATTCCTGTGCCAGGTAATAGACAGCCCTACCAGAAGGGATGCCATACTGGACCTGTTGGTCATCAATTCATGTGAGCTAATTGGTGACGTCAAGATTAGAGGTAGCAGGGTAGTGTTTTAATGTGTAAGAAGCAGCTACAGTGATTTTTAACCTTCAATACAGATTTAGTCATGCAGCATACTCATTCTTCAGAGCATGTCTATGAGAACTGCAAGATTCTTACAGGGTCCTCAGTCAAGACCATTTTTCCTCACCCCTCAGTTTTGACAAATCAGTGCAAATCATAACTTCAGCTCAGAGCTAGTGTTGTACAAAAAATGTGGTCTATTCTTACATTTTAATTTCCTTCTGTTTCCTTTATACAAAAACAAGTGGCAACAGACTTTAAAATGCTCCTGGCTCAAGGCAGCAGATGCTGAATCCTATCTTAAGCGGGAGACAGGTAATAGTAATATAGTATAGAAAGTATAAACCAATTTTAGCTGAAGCAGTGACCATATTTACTTCTTGAAATACTCTGCTTTTTGGGAACCCTTATAAGTAAGCAAAGCTCATTGCTTTTACAGTTTAAAAGCTTCCTACAGGCTTAACTTATTTAAGAGAGACCTGCTGATTCTGTTCCAGAAGAGGTCACATACCTACCATTATGCCTTTGTGTCAATTTTAATACATTGAACACAAATAAGTTTGTTTTCTCTCTAAGAGCAGATGGAGAGGTAGAGAGAAGCAGAAAGGGAACGGAAAAAAGAAAACCACAATCTTAAAAATTAAGTTTCTGCTATGCGATTAAAGTTTATTTCACAGAGGCTGAACAAGGTAAAGTCAAAAATTATATCCAGAACTTCAAGCAATCAGTACTTTCATTTACTGCAAATGATAGTTTTCAGCCACACCATAGTAACAACGATAGTCTAACAGAACAAACACACGGGCTTGCTATTTAACAAAAAAGAATTTACTCTGTGCCTCTTAGATGTACGTGTTTTGTGCATTTGTGTTTATCTTAAAATTCAGAAGTAGACAGAGAACAAGTATTTCCCAATAGGTTTTCCCATTACCCTCTTTTTTACATCAGAAAAATAATTGGTACCGGAGCATTATAGAGCAGTGAACCAAACTGAGGTTGATTTCCCCCCACCCTCCTTGTTCGTTCAAAGCTATAACAATCACAATTTTTTCCTTTTATTGTCTTCCTTGACCTTCCAAAGGATTAGTTCCATACAAACAATTGCACCTTCCTTGGAATTATGACCACCAACTAGAGGAAAACAAAACAAAAAAAAGAATTAGAAGTGTTAGATTATGTATTTATTTATACAAGAATGGTGGATTTGTTTATTAAGCTGAACAATTGTTGAGGATATTAAGACAATACTTCATATTCAGACTGTTTTTGGTGCAATTCCTTGTTACCAAGATTCAAGGTAAAACCCACATGCTTCTAGCAGTCCAGTATTGTCTGGCAATACTCAGTGTCCCACCACACCCTCCAGCTTCAATATCCAATGGAGCCTGGATTAGTAACCTAGAGTATCCAAAATAACTGTCTGTGGAAAACAGTCCTCTCCAAGTCATGTACTTTCAAATCAGAGTTGAAAGAGTAACAAATGACAAGTTTATTTTGCAACTAGATGGTAAATTTCTACCTTGGTTATTTAAGGATAATCTACTTGCCCTGATCTACTGAAAAGCTCCACAAAGAGCATTTTCATGAGAAGGTAAATCTCCACCTCTTCAGGGAGTCTGTCAGCAGGACCCCCTGGGAAACTGCCATCCAGGACAAGGGAGCAGAACAGAGCTGGCAGATCTTTAAGGACACTTTCCATAGAGCACAAGAGCTCTCGATCCCCACATGTAAGAAATAAGGAAAAGAACACAACGGACCAGCATGGCTGAATCAAGACCTGCTGGTCAAACTAAAGGGCAAGAAGGAAATGCACAGGCAGTGGAAGCAGGGACAGGGATCCTGGGAAGAGTACAGGGATGCTGCCCAGTTGTGTAGGGATGGGGTCAGGAAGGCCAAGGCACAGCTGGAGCTGAACTTGGCAAGGGATGCAAAGAATAGCAAGAAGGGCTTCTACAGCTGTGTCAGCCAGAAAAGGAAGGTCAAAGAAAGCGTACCCCCCTGGATGAGCAAGACTGGCAGACTGGTCACAGATGAGGAGAAGGTCGAGGTACTCAATGACTTCTTTGCCTCAGTCTTCACTGGCAGTGTCTCTTCCCACACCTCTCCAGTGGATGGGCTGCAAGACAGAGACTGGAGGAGCAAAGTCTCTCCTGCTGTAAGAGAAGATCAGGTTCGAGACCACCTGAGGAACCTGAACATGCACAAGTCTATGGGACCTGATGAGATGCACCCCA